AGAACGCTGTAAGCTCGCCCGTATCCATTGGCCCCGTTTACAGCCAAAGTCCGCACATTCCAGGTTGCTACCCTGAGAAGTTGACCCTGCTGTCTCTGTCGCGCGGCGCGCGCTGCTCTCTTAGCTAGCCTACGCGCCGCCCGACCCCTCCTTTTCCTCCAGCTTCCCCTCTTTTTTTGTTTTTTTACTATTTTCTTGCGTACACTCGGGCTAACGTGATAGATACTCCGGTTCTTGCCTTGTTTCCCATAGAGTTGTCTTCTTGTCCCGGAGCGGTGTGGCCCTCCATCTCTGGACTCTCTCCTTTCCTCTCTCTGGGGCATACCCCCACGGCGTGCGGCCACTCCGCCACCCTCACCGTGCTCGCTGCTGCTGCATAGCTCCGGTGTCCAAGCCGGAGCGTCAGGATTCAGTCTCATCTTGCAGCTACCAAAGCTGGCGGCTAAGGAGCTACCCCGATCTCACGACAGCAGTAACTCCCAACCGCCAAACTCAGGATCCCCCTCTAAACAGTGCTAGGGACCGTATAGCCGTCGTTGCTGGGTGGTCTTTCGAGGTCTAGATCCACTTGCGGAACCTCGGCCTACCCCAGGGACGGAGGGGGCAGGCCGGGGAGGAGAGAATACAGGTGTTGGGTGTGTGTGACGACGTCACTGGTTTTGTAGAGAGACGCGGCAGAGATGGCGGAAACCGGGTGCTGTAATTGTTTACCTGCATCGTGGAAGACCCCTTCAATGTGGAACGATTCCTAGTCAGTGTCGATGTTTACACTGCTGTGCCTAACACAGATGATCTGGACAGATTCGGGTGATTGTCAATTGCAATGGTGGGNTGTGTGTGACGACGTCACTGGTTTTGTAGAGAGACGCGGCAGAGATGGCGGAAACCGGGTGCTGNCCCCGAGCTTGTTTACCATGCACCATGGTGTTATTATTGTACAGACAGCCCTTCAGACAGCAGTACGCTGTAGTCGACATTCATTTTGGTTAAATGCGGGACAAGGGGGGTGATGCTGCTGCTGTAGTCGATTTGTAGTGTGTGGGCGTGTAGTTCAGTTGTGAGCATGCAAACGTGCTGCAGTTATTGCAGGTGTACCTCCTCGGGCTTGCGCACCCTTTTCTTGCTAATAATAGTGTGTGTTCTTTGGATCTCCTGATGGCCCAATGCATAGCATTTTTGTGACCACGGACCGAGTCTTTGCTAGATTTTAGGATGACAACAAAAAACAACACTCCGCATGTGTCATGATCAGCTGACTGTGTGACTCATTATTGCCGTACGTGACAAAAGATACCACCCCCTGGGTTGATTCAAAGCTCGATGTACTCAGCAGCAGTTGGAGCAACACGGGCGCTCTGGTCTGCTGTGACAACTAATTCATCCCTACCGTCACAGTTCAGGTCATCAAGCGCGGACCTCTCATGTCAAGGCCTCCCCCTCACGCAGGGGGGAAGAGATTGCTCTATCGTGGAGCGCCGCAGCAGTTCAACAACATGATGACTTACTGTCACGTAGCCTAGCCTAATAATGAAGGCCAGACCAAATTTGAGATGGCCCACAAGAGGTGGCTTTTGCACGATTGCACCCCAAAGCTGCTGCCAATGTATAGTGATACACCTGACATGCAGCAGTGCTGTGAAGGATCGCTGTGGATTCAGTCCTTCTCACTGAGCTTCTCGGCTCTCCGTGCACCGGTCCTCCGGAAGCATACTGGGGGCATTTACATAATGTTATCCCCCCCATTCCAGGAGGAATCCACGAGAAAAAAACGCGGAGGGACCTTGTATGTGTGGTGCAATCGGGCCGCTTTTCTTGGAACTGTGGAATTACCAGGTAATTACGGGTAAGAGTGTGCTATGGAACAGGGCTGGTGTAAATTGAGTGCAGCCAAGCGTACTACTTGGAAAGAGAGTAAGTGGAAAAGAGCGGGAAATGTTGGAAGAGTACTGCACTATCGGAGGGTTGTGAGGCGGATCGGTTTTTTTTTTCTCCCGTCATTGGACTCTGTCGTCTGCCCCTCTGGCCCCTATCCTCCACTTCTACGAGCTAGACGACCCAACCGGGGTCACATAGGAGGGGGGGTTGGACCCCCTCCTGCGGTTCCTGCCTGAGATATTTTTATCGGGAGAAGGGTACAGCGATCCCTTCCCTCGCGACTTATGAAGTCGATCAGTTGGTATTTTCACCAGGGAATAAGTTTGAAAGAGTTGACAGCTTTTTTGAGAGGATTGGATAGAATCTTAGATTCTCGGAATGCAAGTATGGACTGTTGTTGTTGTTGTTGTCGACATTAAACCGCATGTCAATCAGCAGAGTTAGAGTTGAGGATAGGATTTTTAGAATTGGTGGATATGTGTGTGGACGAAGAGACACCCACATGAGGCCAGTCTGACCGACCAGGAGTCTTCTCCCTTGTTGTCTTGGTACGGTCAAAACTTCTAATATCACGACACTTGATCGCAGCTCTACTGGACTGAAACATACCACGACAAGACACTTGGCATCAACACAAATACGTACGCGGAGGGAAACGCATCCCGATCCCCCGATATATGTGTCCGTTGCCGCTGCTACGAGCGTAAGAGTGGTGCACATCCACTCAGCGACAGCAGCAGCAGTAGCTGATGATGATGATTCATGAGAGCTTCGTCCACACAACACAACACTTTCACTCTTCCCAGCGCTGCTAAACAGCAGCAGTCCTGCGTACACGGCTGACTGGTGGTGTTGGGTGAGGTGTGAGCGTGTGCAATGAATGGCAGTGTTGGCCTCTCTGTGAGGCTCCCAATCCATATCTAATACGCCTGCGTCTCTTTCTCCGCCCGTTCTTTCGCGCTTCCCACGAAATAATTGAATCGCGTTTTGTTGTACCCCTCTGTATGGGATCTGAGCCGTATGTTGTTGTTGTTGTAATTTCTCAAGTTAGCTCTAATGTCCACAAAAAATGGGGAGCCCGTGGTCTCAAAACCCGGCACATACGACGCCGCGGGGAAACAAAACAAAAATAGGGTACAAACCACACGGAAAGAGAAAACAAAATTATAAAATGGAAATAACGAAATAACAGGCACCGCACCGACCGTTCGAGAAAAGAGCCTCGGAAACCGATCAAAAATATAATTGGGCTTTTTGTGTGAATATCAACGACTGCGGTCAGACCCACTCGCATTCGACGTCCGGGACGCTATGAACGGTTTCGTCAGCGAGAGCACGACGGCAGCAGTAGTTCTTCTTCTATTGTTCCACCTGCGCTTCATCTCAGCATTCGCTAGGGGTAAGCTCCCTATCTCGAACGGAGCTCCGAAGTTGCGATCGGGGCAAGCCATGAGTAACATGTGCGCAGCCGTGTCTATGCCCATCTTCGATGCGCAGGGAGTGCCTGAAGTGTTTCTACAGTCGATCAGGGAGGAACCATGGCGTGGAGCCCTCCGGCCTTGCATAGACCACCCCTTGACTGAGATCGAGGTGACGGGCGAGGTGCCGAGGACCCTGGAAGGCACGCTTTTCCGTAACGGCAAGTACATCATCTTTGAACTCATATGTTCAAGGTTCTTGGCGCAATCGCGCTGTCCGGGCCCAACTTGAGCGATTCCACGGAAGAGGCCGATAGAGCGCAGACGACAGCTGGCAGGAGGCATAATTACATAATTGTAGCCACTAACATTACTACTTGCTGCGTTGCATTGTGTTGAATGATGAGTTACACTTGATTGAAGGATGAGTAGAATGCACTTGTGCATCTGGAAGAAGAGAATATGCAGCCAACTTGTTGTGTATACATGGCGCGCGCGTTGCATGTAGACTACTCATTCGGTGATGTTATTTGCTCCACAGCGGTACTGTTCTTGCCGACAACTTGTGGGTTCCTCCAGGCAGATCTCCGCCCAGAGAGCTCCCAATCGACCTCAACCTAACTACATCGTGTAGGTATACGCTACAGCTATCTAGCAGATTACGTCCGCCGGTGCACCTACCCGCGTCAGGAACCAACAACCTACGTGCAGCTCCTCTCAAGTTCAATCCACTTACTAAGACTCAACACTTCCCTTTCGCCTGAAGGTGATATCTCAAACGGGTAGTCTTTCTGTAAGGTTATGTTGAAAAACTCTGCTGTGTCAGTGGTGATCTCGTTTTTTTCCAGGGGGGTCAGGGATGGGCAGTCCGTGCCGTTACATGGGCCGTTTCAGTCGGTTCTCGGAAGTATGGTAAGAGTGCATGGTGCTGCTGTGTGCTGGTCGGTTATTACTTGGGGGTTTCAAAACAACAGGACGTGTAACGATGGTCTTTTGCGAACTGTTTTTGATTGGGGGCGTAATTTTAGCTGGCGGAGGTACGAAATACCGCCTGCGGGCTCGAGCCATTGAATGCATACATGTATCGCGCTTGACCTGTTTGCCCTAGGTCAGGTGTCAGCCTCGTAGATTACATAGACGCGTACGGACCTGATTCCGTTCAATTTTTCCTGCGAAACGAAGGGATCTGCATGATGTCTGTTCTCTATTCTTCATCACAGCGGTAGTCATTCGTGTTTGTCTCCCGGAATATTATTGTCGCAACCAATTTGCCATGTACCAGAGAGACGAAGAAAGGGTGGATGGGAAGCATGACATGAACGAGATAGCAAGGCACAGATTCAAACCTACGCACAGCACAAATGGCGCTTCGTAGGGCTACATATATATAGGCAAGTAAGTTTTCAAAGAGGCCGGCACCGGCCTTGTACAGGGCCGATTCTATTGCATGGCGATTCTATAGGTGCCCGATATTGTATACGGCCGGTCTAATCTCGTGGCACTTTGCGGCCTAATACAATCGGGTCCCCAACTGCATGGACGTGTCCATGAACGTCCACGGACTGTCTTTGATCGTTGCTCTGCACAAACTGCTGCGACCAACCCTCAAAATTGAAGCGCCGGAAGACGCAAAGCATTGATGGGTTGAATACTACATCAGGATAGAGAGGGAATTTGAGGGAGGGGTTGACGCCGGCATAATCAAAACGAAAATCAAGCAGTAATTAACGCGCACGAACGTATGGATGCATACACGAGCGTACGGCAGGTGATAACAAAGCGAAAGAGTAGGAAAAAATGAGTCCAACGAAAGATCTAGAGTACACTGCTGTGCAGACGGCAGTGAATGCGGTCGAAGACCAGACTTGAACTCAGTATGTCCCCTGTCGTGCAGATGATCGATGGTATATTCAAGGTTCCCTTTCGGGAGTTTGGTGGCTTGCCTCCCGGGGACGACGCAAGAGGACATGCACAATATCGCGCAGGTTGCATCGTTGCGCTCAACGTTCGGTGCTGCCGATCTTCCGTACAAACTGCAGATTTACGTGATGTCGGGCGTTTTTCTTTTTGCTCACAGTCTTCCGTGTGTGCGTGAGTGTGTCCTTTTAGGCCAGCGGCGTCTGTGCCGCAGATGCTACTGCTGTAACCCTCTGCGTTTGATCGCTCGCTGTTATGCATTGGTGCCGTGTTGCTCTTGGTGTATGGGAACGTGTGTGCGTTGCGCAGGAATCAAAAGTCTTCCAGATTTCTTTCAGGTTTTCCGTAGAGTTAAGTGTTTTCTGCAAAGGCGTTTTAGGATTCAGAATGCCTTCCCGCAAAAAAAAGCCAGTCGCGGCTCCTTTAGGCGTCGATTGCACGTACCATGGACGACTTTGCGGCCCTCGGGCATGCCCGGTAATGCACCTACGAGCCCTGAGAAGGACACGCCAAAAGTGTCGCTAGCCGCCCGAGAAGGATTGAACAACGTTGCTCGCGTAATGATAGTGCCACGCCCTCTGTTGTCTGAGACTTTATGTACCACGCGCCTTTACTCCTACTGCACCACGCAGGCCCTGCGAGGAATTGGGACGGTGAGCGGATGTATGGTCATTGGTTCGATGGAGACGGAATGATTAGTAAGGTGAAGGAAGAGGGTGCGTTTGAGGGGTTTGAGAATGCCCTTTGCGTGGGAAGCTCGTGTGCTTGGGGGCGAAACGGCAAGCACGTCGACATGGTTCTGGCCACTGCTGAATTGAGTGTTACAGCTACAGCTTTGCCTCGACAAATCTTGTCTTGCTGTCCTGTGTATTCGACCCAACCCCCTGCAAAAAAACTCATCGCCTTCTCTTGCTCCCGCATCCCAGCCATGGTACAGCAAGAAGTCTAAACGATGGTATCGATCTCCGGCCTAGGTTCGGTAGACATTTGAACGTAGTGTTAGTCACTTTGCACCCGATCCCATCTGCACCCGTTCGTTGCTTACTTCCAACACGTGCCCCCGTCATCGAAGGTGGTGTTCAAGGACGGCCGAGTGTACGCACAAAACCGGTTCGTCTCTACAGATTCTTGGGACCCCAACGCACCCGAAGGAGAGAGGGCCGCCGGAACTAGGAGGCCATGGACACCGCGGCCAGGCGGGTGGCGGAAGAACATCTTCAAGCAAACGGGCAATCTCGCCAACACCAACGTGATGGTTAAGGGCGGGAAGTTGTACGCGCTGTACGAGGGCGGCAAGCCGACGGAGATTGATCCGGTGACGCTAGAGACGCTCGGAGAGCGCGACCTCGGCGGAATTCAGGTGGGTAAAGCCGATGAGCTATTCGCTCATCCTCTGCTGTGCCCCTGGTGGTGCGGAACCTGGTTGCACGCCATTGAGTTGAACGAATGTTCCGCTTCTTTCGATTGGAGGGTTCAACCTTGTGTGTGTGGCCCAGATAGATCTACGTGTGCTTTTCTGCATTCTTCCGCTCCTTGGTGTAAGGGTAGCACCCCTTGGCGCTATCCAAATGCTACATTTTTCAGGGGAAATGTGCGTGAAGGGTGCAAGCTGTATGTGTCACCACGTGTGTGTACCTTAAACCCAAGATTTTCACGGCCTTGTGGGCGCTTTTATGATTTTTTTGGCTATTGACGCGTTCGTGCGGTTCGTATGTTATGCACCCCGTCGCTCGGCCAGATCAGGCCCTTCAACGGCACACGGGATCACGCACGGGTGTTGAACCATCCTACTACCGTGGTGTTCCTCCCCACGTCGATTCGACGAGTCGGAGAGTTGTTGCGTAGTTCTTCCTCCTCCACTCTAGTATGTATGGTGGGTTTTCCTCGGTGCCTCTTGTCCGCTACGACTCCTCCAACCAGGCGTGGTCTTGAAACCAGAAAATGCATGCAGGGAAGTTATGTCGTTTACTTGCATGACCGTCCTTGCCTTGCCTGACCCTGGGACGTCTCCCCCTTTTTGCACATGCACCCATTTATTCTCTCCTCTGGCGGAATCTCGTTCGAAAAGCTAAAAAGTCCATCCAGGGCAGCACTGTTATATGGCACGATGCTCCTATCCTTTCTGCCGCTCTATCCCACCAGGCGTTTTACTCCGCACATCCGACAACGGACAGAGATACCGGGGAGACGTTCAACATTGGAATGGGAGGGGCGAAGGGGGCGTTGGAGATCACGAAACTCTCCCCTGACGGTGTCCTGCAGAAGAGCGCGACGTACACACCGCCTGCGTCGCTTTTCTGGCATGACAATACGATCACCGATGAATTCGTGGTGGCAGTGAGCTCGCCATTCACCGCATCGCTCAAGTCAATCTTCGGATCTATGCTTGGGTTCGGGCAGATTGGGGACGCGTTTAGATGGGACGACAACATGAAGTCAGAGGTGCCTACGTTGAGGGTTGACTTGTTCCATGTCGTCACGGCGTGTGATTCGTTGCGCACGCTCAACTGTTTTTTTATTGAAGTTTTTATACCTGACCTCCCTGCCCGCTCTCCCCCCGCTCCCTCTCGAAACCTAGTTGCGCCCCCCGACGGTGTTTCTGAACATTACCAGGCGTTTTTCTTTTCGAGGGAGACATTGGAGTTGGTCAAGAGAGTTGAACTCCCTGGCGCGCCGTCGTCGTACCACATCGTGAACGGCTTCCAAGAGGAGGGTAAAGGGAGCAACGTATCCGTCATCATCGCCAAGCACCGCGACGGCGGGGGCCGAGAAAAGATCGAGACTATCTTCAGAAACCTCATGACGACCAGGCAAGGGAACGAGAGGGGCGGGTCGGAGGAAGAGCGGCATCTAAAAGGAATTGCCCAACGCCGCCACCTATGCGTGAGCGTATGCATAGCCGGGGGAGTGTCGCGAGTTGGGTGGCGGGATCGACGCCGAGCATACATTTGGTATGTGTGTAACGATCGCTCTGCATTGGATTGGCCCACGGCTCTGTGGTGGAAAGAGAAACAGTCGTAACTTTCTGGAGAGACTTAGAATGACACTGTTCGGGCATTCCGCCGACGTGGTTACACCCCAAACTACCCCCCGGGGACGTGCCAGGTTCTCGGAAGACGTGTTGTGCGACGCGTACAAGTACGAGATAGATGTGGAGGCCGGGGAGGTGGTTTCCCACGGCCCCGCTGCTTCGATGCAAGGAGCGTTGGCGATGGAGCTACCCACGGTGAGTCTTGCGCCGTGCGAGGCAGCCACAGCCGTACTACGCTTGATGCCCTTGTTTGTGGTTGGTGGCACTGCTCTGGTTTTGGGTTCTGCGTCGTCCTCGATGCGCCTGCAGTATGGAACAAGCCAATCAGCGCACGCGTGGTTCCCAGCTGGACGATCAGCACGCCTGAAACGCCTGCTCCTTTCCACCACCTTCTTCTAGTTCACAAGGCACCTGGGGGCTGATTTCTGGTTTCGGATTGTTTATTTGGCCTTGGTGACAACGCAGATGGATCTCCGATACGTGGGCAAGCCAAGCCGGATCGTGTTCACGAACGCCTTGCTTGGTGACGCCGGATTCCCGAACAGCGTTCAGCGTGTTGATCTGAGTGGGAAAAGCGGCGAGGCGTGGACGACACACGTGAGCGGGTGCCAAGCGGATTGTGTAGGACAGGGGAGTCGTGCTCGTCAGGACGCACCTTGCGTTGGTGCCCTGTTCGACCGCCAATCCATTTTCTCGTGAGACCCACGTCCACGTGGTACAAACTCCGGTCCCCTTATCCACGAGTGCTTGCCCGTTTCGGTTCCGTCGCCGCTGCTTGGTGGCAGGACTTCGGAGAGTCTCGGTACGCAGGAGAGCCGGTCTTTGTGCCTAGCTCGAAAGATGCTCAAGAAGGGGAGGGGTACCTCATCGTGCTCGTGTGTGAGTAGCGCTTGTGCACAAGGGTTTGATTGGTCGTCTTTTGGTCTTAGCAAGGCCGGTGCACCAAACGATTAACGGAGGTATGTGTTGCCACTCTTTGTGTCGGTGTCGTCGAGCACTTCTTGCTCTGATTTTCGTTTCTGCGACAGCTCCGTAACGCGATCGATTGCCCATTCCCGCGACTGTCTCGCTCGCTCATTCTCCTCCCTCCCCCCCCCCCCCCCCCCCCCCCCCCCCCCCCCCCCCCCCCCNNNNCCCCCCCCCCCCCCCCGCCTCGTTCTCTGTCCGTCACTACTGCATTTCGTTTCTCCATAGACAACACGAAGACGCACACCACCGATGTCGAAGTTTTGGACGCCCAAAAGGTAGAATCGCCTCCTCTTTGCACGGCACGCATCCCGTGGCACATGGGCGCCAGCTTTCACGGCGCTTTTACGCCGACGGCGCATCTCTAGCCGATCGTCGATGCTTGCAGAAACCGGGTTGTCGTCCTTCTCGCTATTTCGAAATGAATTTTTCGAGTTTCCCCGAAAAGTGACGTCAGGACCGTGGCTGACGTCATCGGTCGACCGTGGTTTTTTCGACCACAGGAAATTTCCCCGCAAAAAAATCTGACCAATCAGAAAACTGCGGGCACCTTTTCTCTCTCTCTCGTTGGTTGTAGAGTAGTCTTCTTCAATCAGAGTTTTACACCAAGGTTTTTGTCTTTTGCTTCTTTTTGCTGTGGCTCTGTCCCGACGAAAGCCCGTGGTGTGGTTGCGGTGCCTGTACATCACGAAATGTCTGTGCTGAGCCGCCGGCAGCCTGCCGAAGCATCGCCTGCATCACGTCTCGAGCAATATCGTTGGGCGAACTCTCTTTATACCCGTGCAAACTTTGGTCGAGTGGATTGTTGTTTGAGCGCTAAAAAACCTCAGACATCTGCACGCCCACTTGAGAGGTATACTGACTGGTTGGTGACGTCACAGCTAGCTGCGGCTCAAGGTGCTGCTTAGCCCCGTTGGTATTCTGGTCTCTCTTTGCTGGGGCAAGAAGCTAACAACGGTTTGGTGCAGAGAAGCACGCGGTGTGCAGCGTGGGTGAAACAGTTTGGGTTGTGAACTCAAGTGGGTGGTGAGCTATCTTTAGTGCTGATCGATGCCGTGGTGCGGCAAACGTCAGCCTTCTGCTTTCGCGACGCGTTGGACGCACCACACGGGATTGCGCAGGAGGAACTATTGTCGTTGCACTTTCGTTGGTGAGCGACACGTATGCACGACGTTCGTGTCCACAACTGCTGCAGCTGAACAGGCACATGCGTACGGTGATATCGATGTCCATTACTCAGCAATAGTGTTGGTGTTGATCGGTGTCGCTTCTCTCGTACACAGCGCTTCGCGTTCACAATATTAAACGATCCCGCGTGTTTTGGGCGTGGAATTTCCGATTAACAAAAGAATCGCGAGTAACGTCTATCTAGCCCCCGAAATTGTACAGATCCACGCCCGACCCAGGAGACGCGCCAGCCACCCCCGGCGGCGCTCGATCTACGTCCTCTCCTCCTTTCCAAAGCATGGAGTCGAGAACCGAAGGATGGTCGGGGGAGTCTCTTACCGCCGCCCCTCCCTCAGCGGGGTCGCCTCGCTCTCCTCTCCTTGCCTTGCTCTTCGGTCTTGTCCGCTCTTTTCTCCCGCTGCCGCCGCCACCGCTACTTCGTGTGGGCTGGTGTTCGCCATTTCCGCTTCCCCAGTCTATCTTTGCTCCGTGGTCCTCCTGGCTGCCCAATCCTGCTTCCTCCCCTACCGACGGTCTTGTTTTATTTCTTCGCGACTTCGCCCGCACCCTGTCTACGCCTCCAGAGTCGATCGCTTCGCCACCCCCGCCGCCGAAGCTGTGGATAGATTCGGCGTTCTGATGGATGAGAGAGTGTGGATCGACGGGACGATCATTCCCGCCCAAGCCTGCCGAAGTAAAGCCTTGCTGCTGCTGCTGCTGCTGCTGCTGTTGTTGCTGTTGGCGATGTTCTCGGCCTAGCCGACTGCTGGATGTTGCCCGATTTACAGGTATGTTCACAACACGTAGAGTGCAACGGTATGAGGTTACAGGTAGCCAACCAACGAGTGCGAACTGCCGCAGCGCAACATGGGGCAAAAGGTACCGAGGGATTACTGTAGAAGGAAGTGCATACTTGAATACAGACTAGCGCTCTCGTTGAAAGCTTGTCGAGTAAGGTCGGAAAAGAACAAAAGAACCAAACGGAATTACGGGTGATCATCGTGCGTCCACTATAGACTAATGCGTTCCGTGTGTTCACGCCAAAGTCGTATGGGTAGACATGGATCCCAGTACACATGTTGTAGACTTTCTCTCAACCACACCAGGACGACTTCTTGGCGACGATCGCAAAGAAAAGCGGCAGGTAGATCAACTCAGAGAGGTTCCGAGAAAAACAGGCCTTACCCTGTCCTAGTCCCGCCTTGTCGTGAGGGGCACCGATCTATCTTGCCATCACCGCCACCTTGCGAGGGGAGCTCAACCTCCTCTCTCTGGGAGCCATCGCCCGAGAACCCCCAGCCTGCTGCTGCCGAAGGCGACGATGCAAAGTCTGGATGGCTTGTATACCGGCTTCTCCCACCAAGCCAGAACACACCCGCATGTGACGCGCGTCGGAATATTGAACGACGGGTACAGTATGAGAGTCGCTGCGGTAAAATTATCGCTCGCTGCGAACGAGCTTTATTAGATGCTCTTTCGTTGTGTGAACTGTGCATGGCGGGCAGCATGATGAGACTCTTCTGTGTACGAGCTGGCACGTGTTCGGTTTATTGGCGTTCGACGAGAGCACGGGCGCGCTCTCTCTTCGTGCTTTTTGCTTGTTCAAGAGATCGCTCTGGGCGCACCTGGTTCTATCAGATGCCTCAACAAAGGATTCCCTGCTACGGCTTGGTCTGGAGAACGATTGCTGGCCCTGAGATCGGACAAGGGTGACGCAAGGGTTAGATGTCCACCTTCCATGCAGATCACCATCAAAAACAGACTAGACTATTGTATACAGTAGACAAACTCGCACGCATGAACAGTTTTTGTCGCCCCAGATGTTTTGCTGGGGGATGGAGTGTCACGGGAACGGTGGATGTGCCAAAAAAACATGGTGCCGAATGCGACAACCTGGATGTATGTCAGAATAACCTTGCGAACTAAATCCTGTACCGGTGACGGACTGATCGGGGGCGTCAACCCTCTGAAGTGGTCGTCCGCCGGCGAATCACCACTATCCCAAAGAATGGCGGACGCGGGACTCGGGCCAGCTTTGCTTCTCGGCGCGCCACGTTCCCTCCCGGCAAACGACTCCCAAGGTCTGTCGGCTTCGTTGAAGACGCCTGTCGCGCGTACGAAGTGAGGCAAAAGAAAACGGGGGAGAACACACGAGATCAGAGCTGTTCTTCGGCGACCTCATGGGAAAGGGGTGGCGCATACGTTTCGCTGCGAAAATGGCGTACGCTTGTCAAACTACGTCGTGAACACTAAACAGGAAGTTTTACTTTCAAAATCTATCCATCAATGCGCTTCCACCTACGACATGCTGCTAGTGGAAATTATTGTTATACGACAGGATACACGCTACCAGACTGCACAGCCATCGCTCACCACCGCCTCCTTCCTTCGGGGCAGCTTCCTCCCCCCCCGCCCTTCGCGGGGGTCGGTCCTCGTTGGCCCCGCGACCGGTGATGCTCCCTCTTCGGTTACCGCTCCCACCTCGCTCGCCCCCACCCCCACCCTTACCCGACACTGATGCCCGGCTCCCGATCCTACCCCTGCTCCCGCCGCCCTCCAGTTGACCTCCTCCGCTTATGCTTGCCCTGGTGTCGCCGGCCTCACTTCTCCCCCCACCCCTCCTCCTATCCTTCCTTGCACTGCTCATCCTGCCGCTGGCCGGACTGTTTGTGTCTCCATCGAACCCTCCACCTCCGCCGCCGTTTAAGGCGCCCGGTGGGGCCAAGAGTGGAAGCTTGCAAGGGTCTCCGACGTAGCTCCCTCGAGGCTTGATGTGCGGCAGTATCCAGGTCTGGTCATCCTCGTTGTACTCCCCTCTCTCCCAGATGCGGGCTATCTCTTTGGACGACAGGATTTGCCGGGCTACCTGAAGTACCGCCACAACCGGGGCGACACGCTCAAATGTCGTTGTACTCGATTAAGTCAGGGTGGTCGTCATCGACAGTCCGGAGACTACAGTGGGGGCCAAAATAAAGGGGATCACGGCAAGAGTGGACCAAGTGGAGGTACACCAATACGCACTTCTGATGTAAGCACATGGCACGGTTTGCTCCATGTATGTTTTCCCGGGTCGATGCGGTAGCGCGACCATCGAACAACGCTCGGGAATGATGCAATCTACTATTTACGTGAATACGATACCCCTTGGACTGCTTATCACGCGAAACACCGACGGTGTGTTCACACAGTTGGGTGCCGACGAACACGAACATCGAGCGGCGCACCTGTTCCCACAGCTGCAGCTCCCTGTTCTGGTTCCGAATGGAGTCGAGGAGCTCCTCCCTCTCCGTCTCGTGCTCCATCGTGAGGTCTTCGATCTCCTCGCGGGCCTCCACCTACATTTTGCCGTGCGGGAACACCACAAAACGAAAAAGCACGGGGCGTATTAGCGGGGCTACGCTTTGGTACCCCAGGCCTCTTGGGTGCTCACAATCAAAGCTGGGGTGCCTACAAGTTGTTTTCCCATCGGCACGTTTCGAAACTGGGGTCGATGACAACTGTCGAGGAGACGGCGTGTGGAAGGGAGAGGGTGGCCGGAAAACGCCAAACGGTTCCCCACCAGCTTTCTCTCCAGCTTCTTGCGTGACTTGTTGAGCCTACGCTCTTTCTCCTCCGCCTGTCCCACGACGTCGGCCATTTCCTTCTCGACCTGGCACGAACAGGGTTAAGTGCCGAACAAAATGATGTTGTCGGATAGGATCAGCAGCATCATTCTAGTGCGGGGCACCAACGTTCACATCTACCCGCCACCTTTCTTACAGTTGGCACTCTTCATCGTGCGTTCGTTGGTTCACCGCAGATAAAATGCTGGGAAACCACCTACCACCCTGAAGATTCAGGGGCAAATTCCGTTGTGTGAGGACCGCCTCGCAAAGCGACCGTACGCGTCTCTTTGACGACGTGAAGACACAATCTCTTCAAAGTCTCTCCCTTCGACAGAATCGAATCAAGTTTTGATGTTTTGTTGGGTCTCACTCGAGACACCATACAACGACGTTTGGTCTTGTACGTGTGTAATTGTTTTTGGCGTGGTCACTACGTGGTCTCTACCCCAATCATGTGTGACTCGAGTTGCCAGTCAGAAGACACCAACTGTACCTCCGCTTTCTCCTCCAGGGCTCGCACTCGCTCCAGCTCCAGGCGAGTTTCTTTCCTACGTTTTTGCCTGAGCTTGGCCTGATAAGATGAGGGGGGGTAATCAAGAGAAGGTGCGGGGGGATTGGGGGAGCTCACTGAACGCCTCGCTAGAACGTCTTAGGCGCTCTTCGCGAGGGTTCTTCCCCCACGAACTACGGTAGCGCGGGCGGGGCAGAAATAGCGACAGCGGTGGTCGAAGATGCATCATACAGGGGAACCCGTCGCCCAAGACATGTTGAGCTCCGTTCTTCGAATCTTTCACTAAAAGAGTTGTTTTTACCTGCATTCGTCGATGCTCCGCATTTCTACGAGCGATGATGACCTCAGGGTCTTCGATCTCCGCCTCCGTTGGAGATCCGAGGGAATCTGCGCCGTTGCCGCCGCTCCCCTTTTCATCGCCGCCGCCACGGCTGCTTGATGACCTCGTCGCTACCGAGGCTCTCCTGGCACGGCGGCGATCCTGGCTGGAGGATGAGGACAAGCCAATCACCTGGAACCACGTGGAGGGAAAGCGAACGTAGTAGCGGTGAAGTGCTCAGAGGAGATAGAAACACGTGGTATTGGATACAGAAGAGACCGCGTTCGTCTTAAAAACTGTGTCACCAGCCTGAATAGCGCAACACAAGGGGCAACGTGGCGCTCGCGTCGCCAGCATGTCGATGCAATCTTTCATGCACGTATGTAGCAGAGCCCGAAAACACGGAAGAGCACGGAATATTGCTTACGTACAAAAATGTGTGTGAACCCTGCAGAAAACCGAACGTGGTGCGTAGTGTATAGTCACCTTGGTCTGCAGGGCATCGAGCTTCCGTGCCATTTCCTCCCTGGCCTGCTTTTCCACATCCGCCCGGATAACAGATGTCTCGAGTTCCTGCGAAGCATCATTTCAAGCCAGGAGGTAGGTTTAGATAACGGCGTCATTCGTAGCTCACATGTGCATTCCAAATCAACGGTGGTCGAATGCCAGGTGTTGGTATAAATAGGAGGGGCAAGGGAGATTGGCCAGTCGGGAGACACGGGCTCTGCTGTTGTTTGGGGCCGCTGTGTCGGCAACGGTCTACCTAGCTACCTAGACAGCGAAATCGATCAACAACAACAATACACCAGCATCTTTTGTGCGGAGTGCTCCCCTGTCGGTTTGGTACTGGCTGGAAGGAGGAAGAATCGAAGCACCGTGTATTCCAACTCGACTGTCGAAGCTTCGTCACCTGCCCTAGTCGATTACGCTGCTCCTCCACCGCTCTGCTGTAGTTCTCCAAAGCTTGCCTGTGTTCCGCCATCTTCTGCGATTCCACCTCGACCTCAACCTCCTGCACAACCACCTGTGCTCGGGGAAGAGACGAGCGACGAACGGGATCGGGCAACCGTCCTTCGTCGGCATCTCGGACCGTGCATGGGGCCGTAACTCGAGAACAAACCACAGGAGCCGGGGAGGGTCCGTATCCACAAGAAGCCCTGCTCGCACTACGCCTACCAACCACGCTGGCCACCACCAATCGCGCTCACCTTTTCCTCGACGACCACCCTCTCGACGATCTTTTCTTGGACGACCACATCAGGGGGGATCTGTGAGATACTCGCCACCTTTGTCTCTCCCGACTCTCGTTCATTGCGGGCTTCTTCCTCCCCGCCCGCTTGCCCCCTTTCTACCCCTTCCCCGCCGCCGGTCGCTGCCGCAGCCACCACCGAACTTTCGCTAGCGACGCCTCCGGTAGCAGGATGGTCTTGACGCTCCGGACCCGCGGCCGCCGTTGGTGCTGTCGCGGTTGTCGCTGCTATCGCGGCGGGTTCCGCCGTACCGTCGCCGTCGTTGCCACCCTCTTCTTCGATGTCGTGTTGTTGAGGATTGTGCTCGATTTTTTCCGCTGCTGCAGCCACAGAAGGAGATGAAGACGTCGGTGGAGGTTCGCGTGAGGGTGCGCGCGGGTCCGCTCCAGAAAGTGCTGCCTCTGCGGTTGCCCCTCCTGACGAGGGCGAGGGGGGTAATTTTTGGTTGCCGCCGCCGCTGCTAGAGGAATCTGCCGCTCCAAGGGAAGCTGCTAGTTGCTGCTTTAACGCCTCGATTTCCTCCTGATGCACGAGGGCGAAAGAATGCCCAGAAACAACGGGAGAGCAACGCTAGGGGTGGAGCTTGTGGCGTTCTGATTGCTGCCTCTCCCGCAAAATGATAGGCAGCACCACAATGAGTGCTGCGGGTTTACAGAAACATGACCGTCTACCCGGAGAAGTTACAGAAACCGTTTGGTTAAACGAACATCAAAAGCTTGGTCTGCGCACGACATGCCGTTTCGGCCCAAACAATACTGTACCTTGTATTGTCGCAGCATGGCATCCTTAGGATCTTCGTTGATCTTGGGCTTATTTTTGATATTCTTTGCCCGGTTGGCGTATCTGATGGTACTCATTGCGAGAAGGGCAAAAGGTGCGTGCGGCAAAGAACCCGTCAGATGCAGAGCACAGAGCGGGTTTTCCCCTCTTTTTCCCCGAGCTTACCGACGATCTTTGAGCGAGGAGGGTCGGAATCTCTGGTTGATGCAAGAAAGCAGGACTTAGGACCCTGTGCGCCATTGCCACACTGCGGCGCATCACGCTTGTGCTGCCCGCCAAGGGTTACCTTAAGGTGGACAGCGTTTCCTCGTAGTTGTAGTCAGCCGGAGAGATGGCGGCCACCATGAGGGTCTTGGTGTTGCCACCCAGGCTGCAGCGGGTTGAGATGCGACGTCAACAGCGAGAAGCCAAATCGATGTACGATACTCAGGTATGCGACGCAGCGAAAATCATTGCGCGCATAGAACGTTCTGCGTTCGACGATATATGTCATTGTCAAGGTGTTTATTCCCGACGTACGCGTCGTCGGCCATTTTTCACGCGTCGACCAAAGAAGCGTAGTTCCGAGGACGCTTTGTCGCTTATTGCACCAGGGCAAATGGATCAAGATCGACCTGAACCCACCAGAGACTCAAGAACCATGCGATACGAGGTTGAATAAACAAAATTTTCTCGTGATCATCTTCACCCCAAATCTCTCTCCTCCGGCTGTGCAGAAACCAGTCTAAACTGGTTTTGCTTGACTTCCACACATGAGTATTCCTCACGGGGGATTTTGACGTGAATTATTGTCTCTCTACAAACCTTCAGCATGCCCAGACCTTCAGCAAACGAAAATCAGATGTATTCCACTAGTAAACTGTCCACATCGTTTTATACAGAACGCGCTCACCTGTCCTGCAGCAGCCTCGTGAGCTTCGAATCTCTGTACGGTATGTGCTTCCCGTTGCCGTCTACCAGCGCCGAGATCACGTTCCCGAGGGCGGAAAGCGAGAGGTTGATCTTGCACCCTTCCTTCAAGCGGTTCCCTGAGGCCCCGGTCTTGCTCGCGCGCTCAGACCCCGCAAGGTCCACCAGGTTAAGCTGATTTGGAAGCAGGTAGAGCAAAAGGACGGGAGTTGCAAAGTTTGGTGCTACGAGGGCGTAGAACGTGACACGCGAGTTCCATAAGGACTAAGTTTAACTGATGAGCAGTGGTTCGTTCCTCCCGGCAGGCACTGCCGAATCAGTTGTACGCCCGGAGAGTGGGTGCAACTCCCTATCTTGGATGCCTTGCAAATCATTAGCAAACTTTATGGTTGTGGAAGCGGAGGCAACCCGCTTCGCTTTTTTGTGTGCTATCGGTAAGCTTGCCTTCCCCACTCGGATGTGGTCCTTGCCAGCCTCGTCTACGTCGTTGATCTCCACGACGATGGTAAAGATCGAGTGTGACCGCGAAGAAGTTTCGTTCATCGCCGTCGCGCCCACCGTGCGCATCTTCTGCCCCTGGTCCATGAGGCAGTTGATGCCCTCCTGGTTGCTCACGACTGCCTGAGTTAGGCCCTGCAAGATGGTGATCAACGCACAAGGAGACAGAGCCAACGTAAGCTTCGGATATGTTTGTAGTAAACACCGATTGATCTCCTCACCAATGGTTATATAGTCGGTTGAAAGTACCCGCGGGGTAGGTAACAATTATCTCTGCTGCGAGTTTCTTTCACGGGTGTTCACGAGGAGTTCGTGGAAAAAGGAAGGTGTAAGGAGAGAACGAGGTTTGGCTTTTATTTGAATTTCCTATCATGTAGAGCCGACCATCACAAGCACAACCTTGGAGACCATCATGGTGACATACCGGCCGTCTCGTGAATAGACCCTCTATATACCAACTTCTATTTCGCAAACTCATGCATGCAGCATATTGAACCACAGTCATTGCCGCGCGCTCGTGCTTGCAGTCAACATGAGCAACTCTCGAGCGCTAGCCGCGAGTGTGCGGACGGGTCTACCTTGACGTAGACGCCCTTGTTGGGATCTTCCTTGAGCTCTAGCTTGTCCCTCTTCTCTCCGGCGCCGCTTACCGCGAGAAGATCTCGCACTTCTTCGTTGTAGATCTTTAAGGTTGGCGGCATGGCCATGCAGTATCGCGGAGCGTGGTGTTATTACTGAACTACTTTCTCAACTGTATAGCGCTGCTGTTGTGATCGGCATCATTCGCCTGGCAAGCGCCACACCTTCCTAAAGTTGAGTAGACTGGATTGCGGTTTTCTAAGCCCGTGTCAAGGTGCTCGGTCAGTGAAAATAACTTCGGTGCAGTGTTGCTTTGGCCTGCTGAACAAACTGTTAGGCGGTATGCTCAACGAATGCTTGGGTTAGCCCACTGTACGCCGCAACTGCATGGCTCCAAAACGTCACATCAGCAACGGTACCAACAGGGGGGTACGGGTTTCCACGGCTTTCACCCTCCGTAAAAATGCATGTAACAGGCTTTACTGTGTCTTAGTCAGCGTACTTGCCTCTAAGTAGCAGCAGCGGATAAGGAAGGCGGTGTTGACGCTACCCTTGATGTTCTCGAAGATGTGGTCAAAAGAGTGGGGGATGACCCCTCGTAGCTCCGGTGGGTCATGGTAGCCCTGCATGGTGTGCGTCTTTCCGCATCCAGTCTTCGGGAATGTACAGCAACAGCGAGCATGCAAATAAGGGCAATTAAAGGGACCGGACAATCCATGGAGTCGAAGGAGAGAGATAGAACAGGAGCGCCAAGAACGGCGGCATCCAACGGCAAGGTAGGCGGCTGGAACAGCTATGCAGACGCAGAAACCTACGGTAGCTCCATCACAGATTGTGTACGTGGTACGGTACTCCTTTAGAGGCTACTGTCAAAGCAGTACATGCGGAGGCTGTGCAGCGTGTCAATGCCGTGAGCAAGCAATAGGAGGTGAAAGGATGCAGTAGCAGGACCGAATTCAACACGAACATGTAGCGTACTCTGAAGACCTTGGTGCGAGTAACGTCTGCGAAAGTTTCACGGGAGTCATGTCTAGACAGCAGTACAACCGGTACCTTCTCGCACCCAACACACAGCAGTGAGGACCACCACCGTCCCTGCTGGTCGACAAATATTTCACCTGGCCGTAGGCAAAGATGGTGCCATTATAGCCCTCCATAACTCCTTCCACAAGATCGTAACACGACTCTTCGTAAAAGGCCTTCTGCTGGGTGGTCTCGTCATACACCGCGTCGAAGGTAAAGTTTTTCGGCGGGTGATCTGCCTTGGAGGGGTTCCTGATGGAAATCTGCAGTTTGCGTGAATGAAATGCATCGCATTTTGTTTTAGAACAGTCTTCCATGGTATGTAGTATGAATATAGTGCAGTAACCATGTGGTTACCAGACAAATTGGAGTAATTTTGAATGCACCGTAGGAGAAAATGCAAAGACGTGAATAATTCCTTGATGTGACCCTCTATGTTGTAGAGCGGCCCCGAGAACAAATGGGAAACAAAAAAAACACCTTTAGTCTAGTCTAGTACAATACACTTAGCAAGTGGCTCCCAACAGTATTGCAGTTGAAACGGTGGATGGCTACAAACGTTCTATCTCTTCCACTACCAATACCATCATGAGCCAGACGCTGACAGGTTGAAGACATTGCGCCAGCGGAAAGCCGAATGTAGAGTCTTGCAACCATCGTCCCCGACTGATCATTCATTCCCCGTTGGTCAAAGCTGCCGTGTTCTACAATACCAAAATGTAGAATGCCAAACGTGTGCTGCTGATGCCGCCTTTCACCTCCTACAATTGCCTGCTTTGATGGCCATCGCGCCCTACGCCGGTATCCCTTATTCGAACCAAGCTTCTCAGGGCCAAGTAAGCCTCGCGCAGGCCACGCACCTGGAACAGCGCAGCCTCCATTCCTATGATGCCGCCACGGTTCTCGTTCTTCTCTTTCGTGCTGAAGGGCCGACATCGCACAACCACTTGAACGCATTCCTGCTTTTTCTCCGATTTCTTGTCCACCATCCTGGCTCACTCTCTTTGAGCCTGGAGATCCTCTATTTTACTGTTTACCCAGCAGGAAGCTTGGGCTTTCCGTGCTTGGGACGTTGTCCGCCGTGGCCCTGAGCGGGACGTGTGAGTGAGGACGGGAAGATGCCTTCAGCGGGGCGAAAGTTGCGCCGCACGAAACGCCCAATCCCCGAACAGTCACCAGCTGCGTGGGAGAACCAGCCAACAGAATCCCCGGAAGAAAGAGAGAAAGGGAGCGACATCTATAGCTAACGTGGCGCTTATGGTATCGGGAATGCGGGTACCCTTGGCCTGCTACTTACTCTCACGCGTTGGACCACGATGATGGCTTTGAGTGTTCGGACGGAGAGCTTCCGTGGGAGGGGCGATAACACACGGAATCAAGGTCTGCCCAAAGTGGATCGCCGTGCATTTTACCCGCATCGCTCATTCGCTCGTTCGTACCGGTAGGATCCAAACAACATTTACAACAATACAAAGAGTCTCGAGACCGTTGCAGCAGATGGCGTGGTAATTGCTTCGTACTGATGTCAACCGTTGCAGCAGATGGCGTGGTAATTGCTTCGTACTGATGTCAAGTTCTGTTTATCAGGGTTTCGGGCAGCTGGCCTATGGAATGCCAGAGTCGCCACCAGTGTTTGGATCTTCGAATCTTGGGATACGTACACATTTAAGGCGACGGCAACCGACAGCTAGTCGTGGCCCCGTACATGTTTCAGTGTGATCCCAGTATATGTTGTTGTCACCGCCGAGATCATTGCGTACTTTTGCAGCACACCCTTTCGAATCTGAGGTCATTCTCTCACGTGTAGTAGCAGTATGTTAGTACCGCTGTATAGCACAATAATACCTTAACTACTGCTGTACAAATGACTGCGGTGCTGCATGTGGTAAGTTACATCTGTAGACCACCTTCGGATCTTTTGATTGCAGAAACCTATGAGCTGTAGGCTCTTCAAGGCGAATATTTCCTTGCCCAACATTTAACCCACAAGGTCAGCCTACACAATACGTACTGTAGCACGTATACTGCGTAAATAACCACGACGAATGACTTCGCTTCGCCCCCGTTTCGTTGAACAGTCGCAGCCTCTTGCTGCACAGCTTTGTTTGTCAGTGAAGAATTGTTGTATATTTGTCCAAACATGATCAGACGTCGAAAAGGCAAGCTCGTAGGGATAGAAAAAAAGACACGCGTGACTGTAACGAACCCGACGACAAAGTGTGATAAAGATACCCGCTGTCATCTATATGTCCTTGGTGCCGCTGTATCTCGGGTATTTTCTACTTGCGACGATTGTCGTGCTTGGGCACATTCCAACCGGTTCATCGTACCACAACGCCAGCAGTAGCAGCCACAGTCTACATAGCTGCTCTGCGACTGCCTGCTTATCATATCACGTACATGCAGGGGCCGGGGATGCTGAGCAAAATCGACCGTCGTCAAGCGGCGGCCGCCTGGAACAACATCTCGGCGCCGTCGAGTGTGTCGATATGCCACCACCGGCGGTGGCGTTGGTTCCGTCGGTCCCGGTCGCATCCCGGACATTGGACTTCCCCACCGGGCCCCGAGCGACGGCCGTAGCAGTCACCCCCGCCAGAATAAACGCGGACGCTAGAGGTGAAAGAGACGTCCGAGGTGGCGGAAGAGCGGGAGGCAGAGACAACGGGGCAGCGCCGACGGAACACACGCGAGCATTCAAGGGAAGCAGTAGCGGCGGTGCGAGTTTCGGCTCGCCCGGGAGTCGGGCAGTGGTTGACGAACAGCACCACCTTTCTACCAAGAGAACATCGGACGCGAGGCAGCAGGTCGTCGGCGGTCGAAGGGCGCGTGATCGTAAGGGCGGCGGAAGACGGAGATCGGTCGCGGAAGTTGGGCAAACGGTAGGCGCAGAAGGCAACAGCGGCAGTCTTGCTAAAGGGGGTGGGATGGTTCGTGGAAACGCGGACGGTGTTAAAGAGCGACCACGGCGAGTGTCTTCGCAGCTCTCTTTCGGCTACTCTGTCGCCGAGGGTGGCGGCGGTGGCGGCGCGGCGGGGGGAGGCAATCGTAGAGGAGGCCAACGTGGAGGGGAGGTCGGGGAAAACACGAGGCGAGCTAGGTTGGGAACGCAGGACAACAAGTTTCGCATGCAGGCGGGACAGAGCAACACTCTGGTGGCAGTGAGGCTGAGGCCCCTGCTGAAGCACGACCGAGAACACGTAGAAGTGGCCAAGGTAATCGTTTAGACAATAGTTTGGATAAACAACGTGTTTCGTATGCTTCCCACGTGCTGAAGAAGTTGTGGTCCTCAATAGTAGTATTTTTTCGTCTAGGCCAGCTCCTACAGCACGCTCTATGGACAGAACACGCCTAGCCCGTATTCCCTTTCCATTTGCTCATGATGTGGTCGCTCCAGGTGTTGGATCACAGGGTGGTGGTCCTGATGGACCCTGCAAAGGTCAACCAAGAAGTTGACCCCCTCCGGGTAAACCGCACCAGAGAGAAAAGGTTCGTCGTTGGTGCACTTCTTCCGTTGTTCCAAGCTCATTTATTACGGTAACCCCAAGGCCCGTTCACCTAAACGTAGGCTTCTTTTGGTACCTCGGTTGTGCCATCGCGCTTTCTGACATCTTAACCCCCCTCCACACGCGATTTGGAACGGCCTATTGGCTTCTTGAGATTATTGTTTCGGGTTAAACTAGCATGAAGAGGAAGAGAGATGTTGCAGGGGCATTGGATAGCATTTGTACCGAGATTCTTTGTCAGCTGTGTAGGGAAAGGAGACAGTTATGCTCTGCGAGACAAATGCTGACCTCCAGACGCGAAGGAATGCCCCTCAGAAACATGGGTTGATGCGAGTCGTGAAGAGAGCACCGACGCATTTGCGGTGATGCGGTCGATTGGGTAAACGCCCCGTCTTAACAAGAACTTGTGGCACCGTGTGGTCACACACGGCAGGCAATGGTGCGCGCATGTTCCCGCCACCGATCTTGCGCCGTAAGACTAGTTTTTGTTAATTCGCACGACAGGTACGCCTTCGACTACGTCTTCGATGCCACGGCGACGCAGAGGGCCGTCTATGAAAACACCACGAAATTTCTCATACAGGTAAACAATGAGCCAGATTTTGGCTGATTGCGCGAGATGCTATCTGTCTTGATGATCGCAGGTAGAGTGAGGGGTAGTAGCACCGAGCTTCCAGCCTTGAACTGTGCGTACGTAGCTGGTGATACTCAGGCTATAATCTTGTCTAGGTATAATCCACACCGCATGCCACCCGTTTCGATCAGGTTATATAGCTACGCTTTGGTGCTGGGGCCTTCCCATGTTGTTACATACCGCGGAGACATGTATTTGTTCCAAGACAACATACGGAGTATGAAAATAAACCCGTTGCACCTTTTGCTACTGCCAGGGCGTCGTCGACGGTTACAACGCAACCGTGTTCGCGTATGGATGCACGGGTGCCGGCAAGACGTACACCATGATCGGGAACGGCCAAGAGGGGCACCAGGGCATCATGGTCCTCACGCTGCAGGATCTCTTCAAGCAACAGCGCAGGGTGAGTGCCGAGTGGCCTTGGACGCGATTGTACCACGGTCGTGGTACAATGTGCAAGATCGAAGTGACCAAAAGAAAACGACGCCGGTTTCGTCACGTGCGCACACTCCTATGCATCTGTATGAACTGATACGCAGCACATACGAGCGTTCCGGTGTGCGGATTCAACGACATCTGGCTGAGTCAGTATCGGCCTCTCTCCCCTCCCCCCTCTCTTCGCTGCCCTACCGCTTGGTGTTGACGTTGCCGCCCATGCTCCCGTTAACAAACGGACGATTCAGGCAAGCGAGGTACAGGGTAGGCGTTACTCCGTGACCGTCTCCTTCCTCGAGGTAAGACAAGATCTCGCCCAGAAAGATGATGTTGACACCTGAGCAGCAGGACGGATAATGAAAGGCTGGCTATTGTAGGGGTCCGCAAACGTAGGTCTGACGTGTGGTCGTTCTCGTGTGCTCGAAAATACTCACAGCGTTTGGTGTAGTCTGCTTTGTTTGATGTAAATCACAAGAGAATTCCTAGAGTCAATGAACGTGAAAAGTGGCGATTCAAAGGCAGGAACTGTAGTCGGTATCAAGCGACTGTCGAATGTAGGCGTGACTGTGCTAGCATAGGCATTTGCAACCGTATCAGATACAAACCTGTACAGTACGCTGGAAGGATGCGGCCAACCAATTCGCTCTCCTCATTGCGTTTGTTGTGGCTATCAGCCTCAGAACAAGCCAAAATAGCTGTCTTTCTGTTTTCGGTGTTGCCTCAGCACGCCACCCCCCCTCCAACCTTTCTGAAATTACGTCTGGACATTTCGTTGTGCAGGTGTACAACGAGAATATTCGTGATCTCTTGAACGACACCGGCGAGTTCTTGGACTTGCGGGAAGATCCCATTAAGGTGAGGGACGGGCCAAGCACATGGTACACAGCCGGAACGACAGAGATCAATATAACATGGGTCAAGACACTGGTGTGCGGCGCACAGCGAAGTACGTAGTTCGATGTGATTGGTAAATATCGATCTTTTCGAACCTCCACCTGTGTTAACTTGTACGTCGTCCCCTGACTTCTTGCGGAATGTGCTTCCGAAGAATACCTTTCCCTTCTTCACTGGCCAAGCTTTACGGTTTGGGTGTGTGTTTCGGGGGATCTTTCCATCCGCCAGGGCCCGACGGTTTCGGGACTAGCCGAAGTGGAAGCCCGGACACCGGAAGAGATCATGGACCTCCTTCACCAAGGGAACCAGAGCCGGACCCAGCAAGCTACTCGCGCTAATGCTGCTTCTTCCCGTTCCCACGCGGTGCTGCAGGTTAAGTTACAGCATCGGGGTGCCGCGATACGGCACATCATACCAGACCGCGTTTCACCCCCAGACGTTCCTACGACCGCCCTGTCGTTGTGCTGTTCACACGACAGATAATGCAAAGCCGTCGTGTCTTCCTGTCGCCGGCGGCCTCTCGCTTGCTTGCATTGCTGCGGTGCGGCGTGCTACCACTTTGTCAGTCGATCGTTAGCCCAATTTTTCTGCAGGCAACACGTACCTTCACAGCCGAACAAGAGTGTTCACGTATGCAGTTCAAGGCAAATGGTTTGATGTCGCCCGGGTTCTGTCTCACTTCGCCGCCCTCTGTCGACGTTGCAGCACATGATGAGCGCTACAGATGACTTCAGCCGGCTTTGACCAATTCGTCGGAAGGCCATTATCAGACTGCATGCAAAGACATTGTATTGTACTGGTTTCTTAATTCTATGTTTTAAGAACACAACTCTCGTCAGTTTGTGCGACGAGTCAGGCTCGCAATTCTGGTGATCTCACCAAACTATCGAGGGCATGCGCTGGCACGGGGTCAACCAACAACGTTGATGCTCAAGTGTTGGCCTTTTTTTCCTTGCCGATGGTGTCAGGTGGTGGTGGAGAGTCGTGACAAAGCGCCGGGAACGGTAGCGACGATGCATATTGGAAAGCTGAGCCTGGTGGACCTGGCGGGATCTGAGAGGTGCTAAGCCCACTGAAACAGACAAAACGTGCTCCATGATACTGTCTAGACAAATTCACGCCGTAGCTTCCTTGGTGGTGACCGGTAGGTCTCAAAAAAGTGTTGAATAGCTTGCGCTCGACGACATGAAACTCCGCACCGGAAAATGCCCGTAGGTACGTACGTCATCCATTCGTTCCTCGTGGGTGGTGTGATGACCTGTAGACAGCGCTAATGAAACAGTCGTTCCACGTCTCCCCTCACTCTTCTCCCTACCTTTCCCGCAAGAACACACGCAGGGGACGCTGCTACACCGTGCTTTGACAGTAACTGCCCACCACCCCACCCCCGTCACACCTACCTGCATGCCCGGCCACGATGAATCCCTTCACGGCGGAAAAACAACGCTTCCGCGCACACGCGCAACAAACACCAACAGAGCGGCCGCCACGCAAAACCGAGGGGTGCGCTTGGTGGAGGGAGCCAACATCAATCGCTCGTTGCTAGCGCTAGGAAACTGCATCAACGCGCTAGGGGAGAGGGGCAACAAGGGGCAGTTTGTTCCTTATCGGTGAGTGCAGGAGTAACATGACACAAGGCGTCATTCGGCAGGGGGACAAGTCATCCTTGACAGCAGCAATGGCGATCCATCGCGTGTTTTCGTGCAAGACAGCAGTACAACACTGACACCTGAAAAGTCTCAAGCAGAAGCTCGGCACACCAAGGACGTCAAAAACTCAGAACAACAGCAAATCGAATGGTGCAAACGACGCGTAGTTTCTCCATCAACCCTCCGTTCCCTGATCGTGCACAGTTTTCTCCCTCCTCTTCCTCTCCTCTACCTAATCTCGACAACCCCCTCGTTTGGTGCACCACGCTGCAGTGATTCGAAGCTGACTCGCCTGTTGAAAGATTCCCTGGGGGGAAACTGCCGAACCGTCATGATTGCCAACATAAGGTGAGCGTGAAGAGTTTATTGACTATATTATACCCAAGATACACAATGGCAACCCTTATAGACTATATTATACCTAAGATACAGAAGAATTCTCTATGTGGCGTCATCGCGCTGACGTCGCGCGAGACACCGTGTACGTGACGTTAGCGCTTCGCGACTTGCCGATGACTGAGACAGTTGACAAGCAATAGAAATAGAACAGCTCTGTTCGGAAGCGAGAGCTAGCACGATGACGAGAACGAGCTGTATCGCTCACGACTCCGAATTTGTTTTGAGACCACTACTGGATCACCCCCTTTCCTCTTTGTCTGAGAAACGATTGCCAGCCAAAGTTGACGAGAAAAACATGCACGCGTTTTCATTGGAGACCCTTCCTGCTTCTGTGACATGCGGCACCTTGTGTGATGGTCATGTTTCGCAGCGGCGCCTCGTCGTCCTTCGAGGAAACGCTCAACACCCTCAAGTACGCCAACCGCGCCAAGAACATCAAGACGAACGCCACCCGCAACTCCCTGGACGTGAACCACCACATCTCCGAGTACGTTAACCTCATCGGCAGCCTACGCACCGAGATAACCAGACTCAAGGACCAGCTCGTGAGGGGCGGACGGAGTGGCGGCGGCGTAGGCACGGGCGCAGGCGGCGACGGAGTCGGTTCTAGCCGGTCTGAGGTACGAGCAACCGTCCTGTCATTTCTTTGGAGGTGTATGTCACGTACTATTGACAAAGCAGCGCACGTCCTGTGGCTCTTGTTTGCCCGGTCGTTCTTGACTGGCTGGTTGGTTCCACAAGCAAGCCGGCTTGTAAAGCACACGCGCAGATACAACCTTGACGGGGTTAGTGTTTTTGAACACGCGAACTGTGCCGACTCAAAGCACAAGAAACTCTCCGCAGCAGCAAGCAATACTGTTCTAACGTCTTGCCAAACACACAGCACCGCTCACTACTTTCTCTCGCTCTTCAACGGGGGCGATAGGACGGTTGACTTCTTCTTGCACCTCTGTAACCACGTCCGAAAGATCGGGTTCTAGCGCGCAAAACCTACGAAGGGCATTGTGGTTACAAATTATTGACAACAACATCTGCCGCCTCTGTTGTTATTGGCCCCACGCCCCTCCCTCCTCCAAACAACAACTCATGTCTCTTCTCGTTGCACGCACACGCGCAGGCCATGGTGTTCTCTCCGTCTCTCAAGGCGAGTACCAACTCTCTATTCGCCCCCGCGGACGACGAGCAGCAAGAGCTCAGAGGCTCGCGCAGCAAACAAATCGCCGGCAGTTCGAAACGGGCGTCGTTGTTGTTGTCGCCGTCGTCTTCACCGTCGGCAAAACTTGCGAACGATGATGGTAGAGCTAGCGGCGCTGGTGCAGCCGCCGGGTCGATGATGGCGGTGGTCGACGGGGCTGCCGGGAGCGGCACGAGCAGCCGAAACGGCAACGACTTGGCCATGGTTGCCGGTGTTAGGGATGCTCCCGTGGCTTCTCCGCCGGTGTCGATGGCGGCGGGGGAGGGGGCGGTGGTCTCCTCTCCTCAGGACAAAGATTTCGTGGAAGAGGTGGGTAACTTTAGTCAGAAGGAACCATGGCGAGACTGCTTGCTCAGCGCTGTTCGGGCAACGCGACCGACCCATTCTCCCGTTCATAAGTACGGGGAAGATGGAAGATTGGACACGTTATCAAACCACACTCACGCATCTCTTTTAATTACACATCAACGTCCGTTGGATCGAGAGCAGGTACGCGAGAAGATCGTGGAGAACTTCCGGGAAAGAATGCAACTTCGGCGGTCCCTTATCGAGCTGGAGGACCAAAACGTCCAGAACAGCATAGAGGTGACCGTGTTTGTATACGTTTCAGGTTCACCTGACGCATGGTTTATGAAAGTAACAAAGCTCGGCACGCCTGTCCTTCACCGCCATATATTTTAGAAAGACAAAAGACAACCCCATAAAATGAAATATATGTGAGGAGCGTCGAACCCAAACAAAAGCAAACCTATCCGAAACCCTATCGCGGTGTCAACTAAACTCATGAAGTGTACGTACAAAACCTACCCACCGCCTTTTTTCCTCTTCATTTTTTCCTTCGATGCTCGTTGTGCGCAAACTCGTAGGTCGGAAAGAGGCAGCTGTCACTCGTGGAGTGGCATGGTGGGAGGCGTCTTCCTCAAGAGGCCGCTAGCGACGCGTTACGAGGTGGGAGACTAAAAACAGAGAGTATACGCCAATAGTGACGGGGTTAGTCGCAAGAGGTCTTCAACCTTGCTGTATTTCTACATTCCCAAGTGTGAATGCATGGAGCTGTCTGCAACTGTAAACTCTCGAGGGGGGGGGGGGCAGAGAGAGGCGGATGAACGTCGAGAGTACTTGTGAAATAACTCCGAAAATGTTCATGTTTCGTCGCCTAATTCGATCGAGCTGGCTGAGCGTGTCTGGGGGTGTTAATGGACATGATTCGAAACACGGTTGGAAAAGAGAGGAACGGAGGGGCAGTTGGAGCGACATATACCACCACACCCTGTATGTATGCTGTTGGTATTCTATCCCCTCCTCCTACCTCTTCTTAGAACAAAACAGCACATATGACCCCCCCACCTTGCCCTCATAACGCACGTACCTCAACAAAAGGGCTGACACGGCACGGGGGGTGGGCAGAGGCCGTCGCGGAAGCAGCGGAGGCGGCGGCCGCCGGTGGCCGGGGCGACGGGAACATCATCTCACCCCCACCGCCGGAGGTTAGGGTGGCGTGGAGAGAGTGCGAGCAGCTGTGCAGCGCCATCTCCAAGAACAACGAGACGAAGCGCAAGATATCGCGACGGTTGAGGAACAACGGCCGCCAGGCCGAGCGATTCAAAGCAGACCTGGATGGAAAGGTGCCCCGTACGAAAATATAACCGGTTTTTCGATGGTGCTTGGGTGCTAGAGTCTTGTGGTTGGTTTTCAAACTACCGCGACTCATGGCCAGGCCCAGGCCCCGCAATCATTTTTGCTTCTATCGGTTGACTACCCCAGTGATGGTGACGTTGTCATCTTCCGCGGTATTGATATAAGCCAAGAGGTATGACACGATCGAGACACGGGGTGATAGATAAAAGGGTCATGGAACAACGGCCGTATTAACGACGGAGAGGTGCTGGCGCATTTCAGAACCTGCAACTGTTCTGAAAGAGAACACCGTAATTTCCCCCGTTTCCACTTGACTTCGTATTCCTGCTGCAGATAACCGGCGAGGACAGAAACCAACTCATGAGATTGCAGTATCGCATCGGCAAGCTTGAGTTGGACAATATGGAGCTAGAGCAGAGCCGAATTGTGCACGAGAGCGCCATGAGGGGGAAAGACCTCACCATAGAGAAGCTACAGCTGCAAGTGAGTAGGCGTTTCTCGACCGGTGCACATGGTGCTTCTATCTCGATACAAATATAGAAGACGTGCGGTTCTTCTTGCACGAGTAGAATTTGAAAGGCTAAACCACATGAAAAAAGTCTCCCTTCGCGCTTGGTGATGTGAGAGCCTGGTCCGTCCGGTGAAAAACCCGCCGTGCTTCGTCCCGGCTTTGTAGGGCTACGAGGTCAATGGTCAAACGACTATGACATGCACGACTATGAGTACACCCCCACCCTCTGTTTCGCACAGTAGGCCCTTCGCCTGTTGAGGTGAAACCATAATGTCAAAATGGTATGGAGTGCCCCCATTCTGAATACCGCGTCTCCGCCCGCCCGCGTCGCCCTCTCGCGCCGAACTATTGTGCCCTCCTTGTCAGTTGGCCGTACGAGATCGAACAATCGCTCTTCAGCAGTCAGTTCTCAAGGAGCACGGCCTCGACAACGTTGGCTTTCCCGGAAGCGTGGGTGCAAACCAGGCATGTTTTTTGCCTCGCCTGTCATCGACGTTCAATTCCTGTATCCGCTGCATGAGTCACTTGGGGATCCGGAAGTCATTTTTTTGTCGTTTCAGTCAGTTGTGTCAAATGGGGGTGGCGAAAGGGCACTCAAACCCGCTCCTCCTTTCTTGAGTTTTTTTTTCTTTCATCGTGTGTTTTCTCTCGTTGAAGGTCGGAATCACGGACGCTTTGGACGCTTTCCTTCCCGAGGGGGTCGTCGTGGGTCGCACCAACAACATCGGGAGTACGCCGTTCGACGATGGTGACCACGGCGGTGACGTCCATAACGGTGATGACCAAGGGGATGGCGACGACGGCGACAGTGGCGTGCTAATCCCTCGATGCAGAAACGGAAGGAGGGGCGGCTGGGGCTCGTCGTCGTCAGATAGCGAGGAAGACTGCCGCCAGAACACAGCCGCAAAGATGAACGGGGGGGGGACGAAGAAAGACGGTCCCGCTGGCATCGCTGTCATAGAGAGCGGGAACATCAACACCAGCTCAACCCAGGGGGGGTCGGCATCTGTATCGGCAACTGACGCAGCCGCAGCAGAGGAAGACGATAAAGATAAACAAGAAAAAAGTCGGCACCAAAAACAACAGCAACAGCACCAGCCGAGGGACAGGCTTGAGCAGATGATGGAGACCACCCTGGGACGCTCGACAGGACAACAGTGGCCTAAACGCCGGCCGTCCAAGACCATGTCGCGAACAACTCGCCAGGCGACTCACCCCCCGCCGCCTCAACCGCCACCATCATCGTCGTCGTCGTTGCAGCCGAAGCCAAAATACCAACAGACCGGGTCGAGGAGACGTCGAGTGCCGTCGAACACTGCTGGTGGCGGCGGCCACCTGCAAGGCGACCACGACGACGACAGCATCGAAGACGGCCTCGTCGTGTCCTCCGTCATTCCCGACGCGGCGTCGTGTGTGGCGCCGTTCCACGGCCCGCTACCGGTGTCCCTTGCCTTCGGGTGCAGTTCTGATGGGCTCCTGGCGATGCCGGCCGGCGACGACGCTTTCGCGGCTAAGGGCAGCAGGGCACGAGATGAGAGAAACTTGTCGATCAACGACCTGGCCGCGGTGAGAGGCATCTCGGTGAAGCAGCAGCAGCCGCTACCCAAGGATCGGAGAAAAAACCAACCTCCATCTGACAGTGTAGCTCCGAGCTCCGCCGGATTCACCGGAAATTCAGCTTCGGGAGTCCCCGTCAGGACCTGGGACGACGCCAGCGGAGGAGATGCAGCTGGTGGGAGCGGTTTACCAAACGGCGAGGGTCGCACCGGTAACGACCTTGTCACACCCAACGGACCTCTTGCAGTCTCATCTTCAACGGGGGTAAGTAGGACGTTTCAGCACTCGGCTCAGCCTCCGCACCCGCTGAAACACGGGTCGTTGGCGTACGCAGAGGCTTCAGCAACACCAGCTGGCCGAGTCGCCGACGGTCCAGACAGCATGGGCATCTCGGGCACCAGCGTGGCTCTACCGTGGAGTAGACGGCAGGCGTCCACGTCATCCTGTAACGCCGGTGGTGCCGTAGGGGCCGGCGCTAACCGAAGGCGGTTAAGACGCGAGCAGACCCGGGCCGCCGCCGCTGGTGGGGTTGCTGGAAGCAGCTGGGGTAGCGACGCTGCCACTACGAACGTTGCGGCCCAAGGGTGGGGAGAAAGATCGCACGGTGGTGACGACGTCGAGCTGCGAGGGCGTGTGGGCGAGGACAGACCGCCGATGGCGCATGGCGTAGGGACAGATGCAGAAGAAATGATCGTTGTTGCTTCTGCACTCGGAGCCGGGCGGGCGGACGAAGGCGAGCAGCGCGAGGCGCGTTTCGGCAGCTTAGCGAACCTCAAGGCGAGAATGGGGGTAAGGTATCAGCAGCAGCAGCAGAAGCAGCAGCAGCCCGCAGAGGCTGCGGCGGCGTCGGGTGGCGGGGGCGTTGCCAGTGGAGAGAGGAACACACAGGAGAGCGCAGGGAAGGATCGCGGCCCGCAACGTTCTACTCCTTATCAGGCATTTTGAGCCAATAATACGCAGGGTCGTCCCCGTTCAGTCTATGATTTCGGGCTTTTTCATGTGAATGGCACAAATCGTAACGCAAAAAAAATTGTAACGAGTCAAAACCAAACGCGTCGCACGCATGGCCCCCACACGAGATCTGTTGTATGAAGGCCGTGGCTAGGTCAGAGGTCAGAGGTCACGCTGGTACTTGCAGCAACAAAGCGAATGTTTTCTTCTTCCTTTTTCCCCCTCATGTCAAAAACTGCGAGGAAACTAATTGCACGTCAGAGTACACCTCAGTAGAGGAGAACTGAAAGTGATGCGCCAAAAAGACGAATCAAAAAGTAGACGCTCGGCACCGCTGTCGCGGGTAAACACACAGCAAGAATGGAACGTCACCACCCACGCGGAGACTGCACTCCCAGATAGATCATGCCTCACTAGTAACCAAATCCAGACATGTGTACATGAACGTCTACTGACACGACCGCCATCTCTTCAGAGGAGGACCGACTCGTGACAAACATATCTAAAATACCTAGACGCGCTGTCGCGGGAAAACATACAGCAAGCCGTTGCCGTCGCGCGTAGCGCGCACATGTACCGTTATCATGCCTTGACCATGCTTGTTAACCTGCCCAAAGATAGAGGTCATTCAAACCCAATCGATCCCACCAAAAACTTTGCCCGACACAATTCGTCAACTCTGGATTTTACGAACATGTTCAACATCGTTGAATCCTCTCGGAATAGAAAAAGACGGCTTCCGATTACTTTGCATACATGTTCAACGACTTTGCCTCAGCGTGGGGGGGGGGTTCAGAACCAACCCATGTTTGGCCTGCCGCGATTGTAGGAAGCGCACGCACCCGCGCGCCCAGCTTTGGTAGGCTCATATGCATACATCGAACACAAACCAGGCGGCCTGCTTGGAACTGGAACAACCGATACGAAAAGCGTGCGACAGCAGATATCTTACAATTATCGAAGCAACCCACGACACAGCTCGGGTGATTAAATACTACGGCTTTGTGTGTCCCGAGACCCTCCCCCCAAACCATGACACATGTATGTCCCCCTGCCGACACACGGTGGTTTGATTGCGGAAAACCACCAGCCCATAAAAGGCGTAGCAACTACCCGTTCAACATGTTCCGGCAAGATGACGACACTCGTGGCAGGCAACGCACATACCAGCGGCAGTGCGTGAACCCCGCGTCATTCGATCCATGATCCTCTCCCCGCTACCACCGTCATCCCATCCGACCGTGCCCCCACCTGAACTTTCTTAGACGAAATCCCGAAAAAAAAACACTTCTCCTTTAATTACCCTACACAAGTCTGACATAACCGATACACCTAGATAGTAGTCTATGTTCGAAAACGTACAGTTTTGGTTGTCCAATCCGGAAAGGAAGCTGAGACAAACTTCGTTTTGCCTACAGAAAAGGTTCACAGCAGTAAATACGTGGTACGTTAATACGTGGGACGACCAACCTTTTTTATTATGAAACACAGGGGAACAATAAATGTACTCCGAAAAAATGTGCACTATACAACACCGACGTTATATATAGGGGAAATTACACTAGGGTCACACATACATCGACGACACTCCCAGGGTGCGCACCCTAACAAGCACCACACGCGACGCTGTTGTGATGGGCAACATTTTGAGTGCTTGACGACGAGAAACACGACTAGAGACCTCACGACGATAATACCAAGGGAAACGTCACAATCAAATGGACAAAAAACAAAAAAAACGACCGAGTAGCTCTCCACGCACACATCAACAAAGGAAGGGGACTACGACGTCGGTATGCAATACCCGGGGGGGGAGGAGGTGCTTCCATTCGGAAAAAAAACGGCCACTAGGACATCCGCCGAATAATCCGCTTGCTGCGGGTTTTGAAAGTCTCCGTAAAATTAATTTCGGCTCTGATTTCGCGGGCGTTTCGCTGCGATTCTCGCCGTGAAGGCGGGCCTACCAAAAAAGCTGCGCTGCATGTAGGCAAAAAAGACAAAAACTGTGCCTGCTGCGCCTTGCGTGGTTTATTCCTCTTGCTCCCAGCGCTGCAAAAGAGAACAAGGACTGATTCCGCTTTGCGAACCAGTTAGATTCCTCATGCTCCCGAGCAGCCGGGCGGTTGGCTACCTTACCCTGAAGCTACTTCCATGCGCACGAGGCCGAACTTCGCGGCGGCCTCCTCCGCCAGCTCGGGAGCCATGGGCGGCGGCACCGGCGCTGCCGAAGAAACCGCCCGGGAACGCTCGACGGGGCGGCTCCCGCCGGCGCCGGCGTCCGGATGGTTCGCCGGAGGGATTCTCTCGGCCGGTTTGGACGGAGGGAGGATCATGATGGCGGGGGAGGAACGCTGCTTTTCTGCGCCCGCCGCCGCTGCTGCAGCCATCGACCGCGAGTCGCTTGTTCCGGTCGGCGTCGAGTTTCGCCTGGCCGGGCGGCTGCCGCTACCGCTACCGCCGCCGGTAGCGCCGGCGCCTACGGCAGCGACCGGCGCTGCAGTCTGCTTCACTGGCGTTGGCAGTTGCAGCGACGGTGGTCCATTCTTCACCTCGCTCGCCGTAGCACCCGCCGCCGCCGACTTGTGGTCGGACGACGTCTTGTCGCCGTCGAAAAGCTTTCTGCGGAGGGCCTGGAAAAACCCTTCTTCCTCTTCCTCCGCCTCCACCTCCTCCTTCTCGCCCCCGTCCTCCTTCTCTTCCTCGTTGCCCCTGCGGCCCTGGTTTTGTGCAGACGCGGGATATCGAGTCCCGTCCGGCTTCCAGACCCCCTTCGAATCGACCCCGTTGGTGCTAACAGCGGCGGCAGCGGAGCAGTTGCGCTTCTGCCTCGCCCCGTCTCTGTCGAACCCGCCCCAGTGGCCGGCGACGCCGCCGCCGGTCTGGCCCCCGCCGATTCCCTGGCCGCCGCCTAGGCCCCCGTCGCCGTTGGGGCTGTCGCCGCCGTCCTTGTCGTCGTCCTTGCCGCCGCCGCCGCCGTTCCACAAGTTTCCGAAGAACGATTGCCGCTCCGCTTGCACGGCCGTCGCGGACAGCCGCGGAAGCGGCGCCGGAGCGACCGAAGAAGACACGGACAGCGGTGTCCACTGCAAAGGGGAGGGGGGGTGGGTAGGGTTGTTCCATTACAATAGAGGACGCAGGAATCAGGTTTACCGCCCTTCAACAGGGTAGGTAGACAATCATGGGAAGCAACAACCCGACTTGTGCGAGCCGAGTACAGCAAGCTCCGCTTCATGAATTGCCTAGTGCGGTGCCCACTGCAAAAAGGATGACGGGGGAGGAGGTGGTTAAGGGTTTTCCCAGAAAGGGAAGTGGGATTACCGCCTTCTTGAACAGGGCAAGGCCGGATATAGACAATCATGGGAGGTAACAACACGGTTTGTGCGGGCGAGTACGGCGCGCACCGCTTCTGATGAACAGCCTATTCGCCTGCCCCTCTTGACCCTAAGCTGTACCTTAAGGGACGATTGGTTGGATCGTGTGCTGGACCGTTCGCCGGACCTCTCGCTCGTCCTCTCCGCCGCCCGCACGCAGGCCGTGTCCACGAGGTCTTTGACGAGCAGCTTCATCTCAAGGGTGACGATCCTATGCTCTAACTGGCGACGCTGCAAAAATCATAGCACAGAGAGAGAACGGGGAAAGGGGACGGAACCCCCGACGTTAGACCCTAAACCCGGCCCGCAAGAACATCGCAGCTCGCGATATCTCAAGCACGAACACGTCGAAACGCGGCCCGCCTACAGCGCCAAGCCGATGGCGACAACCTTGGAAGGCAACAAAACAAGGTTTGTCACACCGGCCCCTAGACAGAGGGTGCCAAAGTGGCCTAAACGTACCCTTTCATGGTCGGTCGTTCACGTTCACGGTCCCGAGGCAAGGGTGTCAAGGGTGGGCTGAACGTGCCTTAGTCTTTCTGGTTCGGTCGTTCACGAACAGGCCCACCTCGGCCACACATGACACAAGTGCGTTACTCACTGCAGCATGGTACCACCCGCCGGTACTCGAGTTAAGCCGCGTCTAGACGAAAAGACAAAAAAGCGAGAAAATAATAATCCCTCCAAGCCGAGCCGATTAATAGAGTCCGTCCGGTTAAATTTTGCCACCATCTCCTGAAATCACCTTGGGAATTGTTTTGAGTGACTGACGTACCCCCTAGTGACATACTTTATATCGTAAGAAAGCTCTGTTTCCGGCGGATCGTTTGGATGGAGCAGATTTTTTTTTTTTTTTTGTTGGCGAGAAAATCACGATTCCGTGGAGATTTTGGACGATTTTGGTTAGTTTTATTTGGTCGAGTGTGAGGTCATATATTTTTTTTTAGACCGGTTTTGAACGTATCACGCCCAGGGGCTCACGGCGACACAACTCAGCTTTATTTTCGCTAATAAACAACGGAGATATGGGCAGAAAACCGCATTTCAGGTGCCCTCAGAGTTTAGTTTCTTGGGGAGTATTGAACCATACGATGTCCAAAAACTCAACGGATTCGGGCGAATTGGACCTGCACCTAGGGACGTTTTTTTTTTTTCCAAAAAAAATTCGTTTGAGCGAAATATGGCCACTCAAAGTTTGGTGCTGCTGACACACACACAAAGCCACACACGAAACACCATAACCCACACCATACAGCAGCACTGGGCACCCCAAGAGGGCCCACACAAGTCTACACATGTCCGGGCGTCGTGGTGCCGGGCGTCCTCCAAAAAGGAAGCGCGCCTTCAACAAAGCTGGTCAGTTTACAGCTGCTGCTGCACCACCAGAACCACTCGCTGCGGACACTCCACCAGAACATGGCAACGACACATGTTATGAAGGAGACGAGGAGGGCCACAGCAGCAGCAGCCAACACAGCAGTGACAGCGACCTCGGCAGCTGCAGCTCGGGCAGCTCGGGACACGTCAAGTATGACGGCAAGAGCAAACGACACAGACGGCGACTCCGACAAATGCGGCGGGATAGTATGTCGGCGTTTCGAGGCAGTTTCGGGGAGAATGGGGGTCCCGTGGGGGTTATTGGGGGCCCCGTGAGTGCATGTGGGGGCCCGTGGGATCATGGGGGGGGTCAAATTCGCCAAAAAGTGGCCAAATACACGGATTTTTTTTTGACCCCGGATTTCGATGCTTCTCGACCGTGCGGTTCTTGCCAACTTTGTTTCACGATTCAATTCCTAAAAATGAGCGAGAAAAAGTGGGGGTCACGTTGTGGCAAAATTTAACCGGACAGACTATACGCAGAACAAACAAAACAAAACAGAACAACTCGAAACACCCACGGCTTCTGCATCTTCCTCGGCCTTCAGCAGCGCCGCCACGCGCTCCGGGGAGGCGGCGTCTTCCCGAGCGGGGTGTTCCCGATCCCCCCCCGTGGTGCTCTTCTCCGCCTTCTGCTCGCTGTGCGACGAGGACTTGGAGGAGTCGGAGGTACCCAGGCGCTCGACCGGCGTCGGCGATACCGTTTGTCGCGCCAAGCGGCCGGTCCTTCTCTGGACGACGATGTCGGGCGTCGACTTGCTGGACAAGCCCGCGCCGAGGGTGCGCTGTTTTGTTTGTCAGGGATGTTAAAAAAGGGGGGGCGAGGGGCGGGTAAGGCACAAGTTGTTGGATCGATCCGCTTTAGTAGAAGCATACCCGTCCGACGAGGTCTTTTCGTACAAATGGACGCTGCGCCACTGAATGTGAATTTGTTCGGCGCAGACGGAAAACAAGCAGCAGCAGCAGCAGCAGCAGCAGCAGCAGCAGCGGTTTTGTTGGACGCAGCCACAGCCTCCGTCTTGACTAATAGCAACATACCTCTGAACTCTCGATACCACAGTCTAATCGCGCCATCATCACGGCCTCCCTCCCCCCAACCACACCTGGAACGAACCCCACACCCCCTTCGCGCGGGACGACCCCTTCTTCTTCGCCTTCCCCACCCCTTCAGCCGCGGGAGCAGAGGCCTGGTAAGCTCCCGCGGTAGACTGCGCGCGTCGGCGCGGCACCACATCCTCATCCTCGTCCTCTTCGTAGTATTCGGCCCCCACCGACGACGACTGTCTCCCTCGCCCCCACTTGGTCCGGCCGGAGCTCGACCGGGCGTCCGGGCTCGACCGCTTGTCGCGCGTCGTCGCTGCGGCGCGGCCGCCGCTCGTCGACTTGGCGCGCTGCTGCCGCGGCTCGAGGTCGTCCTCGACGTCCACCGTCGCCGCCGTGGTCGCCCGGCTGCTGCGGCCCCAAGCTTTCTTCCCGCCCGAACCTTTCGCGGACCTGAGCGGCTCCGGTGCCGGGGGGCTCCTACGTCCGGCGGGGACGTCCACCATGGTCTGGCTCTTGCGCAGGCCCTTCCGCCTGCCGGCGCCGGGCGACCTCTTTCCGAACCTCCGCGCCGCCCCCTGGTTGTTGCTGTCTGGAGGCGGGTCTACCGACGGTGCTACCGACGGCCGCTCCCCGGACAAGGAGAAGAGGCTGTTTCGCCGGGTGTTGGCAGGAGTCGCCGCCGCCGCCGCTGAGGAGGAAGAGTTCCGCCTCCGCCTCTCGACACCGCCGCCGCCGCCGGCGGCGACGGGTGACGAAAACTCCCGCGTCGACTCGCTCCGCCTGCGACCGGGCCCCCACCTGCCCAAGCCAACGAAGAAGCTCTTGCTGCGACCCGGTCGCTCCTCTACCTCGTCCTCCTCCTCCGCGCCGCCGCGGCTGGGGGTCCCCCCGCTGCTCTGGTGCCGGCTGCCCTCGCTGATGGCGCGTATGCTCTCCTCCTCGATGTCCGTGTCCACGCGGTTGTTGCGGTAGGTGTCCGTGTCCGCGCGGTCAATGCGGTGCGCGTCGGGGCCGTGCACTCCGCCGCCGCCGCCGCCGCCGCCGCCGCCGCCGCCCTTACCCCACCCTCGGAGCGGAAGGTTGAAGCTCCGGCTCCGGCTGCGGGGGCTCTCGTCGTTGGCGTTCGCCGAGGCGGACCTCGAGCCTCGGGACTGTGAGCGGCCCCGCGACGCCATGCCGGTTAGGGAGGACGCCTGGGCGGCGGCGGCGGCGGCGGCGGCGTCTTGGTCCGCCGAGAGCTGGGCCACCAGCCTGTCGTGACGATCCCACTCGGGGCTCTTCATGCCCGTCGCGGAGGACAGAAGCTTAGCCCTGAGCCTGCCACCAGAGAAAAAAAAAACACACACACACACACCAACAGAGTAAATTTCAATAACTTGAAATTTTTGGAGGGGGTTGCGCGGGTCGCGGATCCAGGTGGGACGGGGGAAACTAGTGCCGAATGTTTTGCAGCGGGTTCAGGTTTGCACAGTCAGTAGCAGCTGTTTCGAACTACATTTTTGGATGACTTTTTCGGGCCGACTAGGGGGAGGCAGTGGCACACAACCGCTCACCACTGCTTGGTCAAGGCGAGCGCAGCAACACGGCGCGATTCACATGGCGCGGGGTTCGTTCTCGTCATCTAGTCTAAACGGCCAGCGGCAATTCGACACAGGAACAACCCACGCAAACTCAAACAAGCACTCAACAAATGTTCAACACGTGCACCCCCGCCGTGGGTGCCACCAAAGATCAGACAACCAACCATCGCAGCAGAACACACCAAGTCGCGCGCTCTGCTCTCCCGCGTGTTTTCGATCTTACCCCCGGGGTAGCCTGTCCATGCTCGCCTCGATCAAGTCGATCCGTCGCTTGTAGTCGTACGCCTGCCGAAAATTCAGTGCGCGCAAAAACCCAAACATCCCGGCACGGGCAGAGGAGGAAGAGGGGCAAGGGAAGGTCGACGGGTGTTAGCTGAGCCGCCGACCTGAACCGCCGCGGGCAGCGCGGGCGGGGCTGGCAGGTGCGGGCGCGCGGGGGGGGGGTACAAACCGTCGGCGAGGAACGCCGGAGAGGCCCGCGAGAGGGCACGGCGGGAAAGGGTGCATCTTTTGACACACGTCCGGACGTGTCACAGTCGTCTCCAGGCGAAAAAAAAAAAAAAAGGGCTTCGAGAATGGGGGTTTGGTAACTGCCCTTCGGTAAGAACGGCAGGGAGAGCTGTCCAGCTCAAGCCCTCGATCCGTGCATGTCTCGCGACATTTATCCGTTCAACTTGCTTAAAAGAGAATCGCGACGGGAGCAAGTTTACCACACGGCTCAAAATATGTCAAAAAACACTTGAAATGATTTTTTCCGTACATTCCAATTACTTGACTAAAGTATCTCAACCACAAAAGTAGACTTGAACGCTAACGCTTTGCATCCTCCCAACACATTTTTTTTTTGCTCGGGTGCGTACCGCACCGGTAAATCACGAATGACGACGCAACAAGGAAGGAAAGGCTCATGACACTAGTCAGATCCCGTAGCCCCTCTCGTAGCAAGAAGCACACAATAAAAAAAAACTTAATTCTTCGTATAGAGTAAAATAAAAGAAGGCATGCTTCCCCATGAGAAAAAGCAGAACCATGATTAAGACTGCCGCTGCTGCTGAACACTTTAAGCAAAACAGGCTATTCACGTGTTCACCCCGCCTCATGTGCCCCCGGTAAAAAAAGAGCTGCCCACGTACTGTGTATGTCTCATACTCCGCAGAGAAGCAAAAATTGCTTACCACTACTGCCGACGATGGACGACGAAAATAACGCAATAAAAACAGGAACTATAATATAGACAGGCTTCACTTCTACGCTTGTCCCTTTGCAACTAAAACAATGTATACTTCTATAGAAAAAATAACAAAATCCAGGTCATGGAAAATTCACGTGGAGCGACAACAAAAACGTGCGGTCATGGTTCCTGACTTGACTTTGTTGGGGGAGGGGACGCAAAACACACACACAAAACAACTGAAATGCATAAAAGCGAGTAGCAAGAGCAGAATGGCTACCCACCGGAGAACCCCAGGCTTCCTGCAAGCGTCCAACAGCATCGGCAATCTAACGAATGGCCTCAACGGGCTGTGTTGCAACTTGTTTCATCAACGTTTGCGTGTGCCTGTATACGTGGGTAAATACCCCGGTGTGGTGCGCTTGGTTTTCCCGCTCTCACTCTTTTTCTACGAGCTAGAGTGGTTTTTCTTTTCCAGAAACGAATGCCTCCCCGTGTTCTACCAGCTTCATCAGAAAGTGCTCACACTCCTACAAATAACATAGCCAATAAAGTCCAAGCGGCCAAAACGAACGACACTTCCGCGACGGTCTTCGCGCTCAACCTTTTCTAACGAATACCATAAATTTTCGTCCATGCGTTGCGTGTTGCTCTGCACACCAACCGAAGGTGCACGGAAAAAGAAAAAACCTCTGGTACGCTGCTCTATCGAGGGGTTTGGAACTGCCCAGAGAAACGCTTAAACCGCGCTTGGACCCAAGCTATGCAACGAAAATTCAGCTCTCGAACCAAGAGCCATGCAATAAAATTTAGTCAGTATACACCGGGGGGGCTTGTTCAGCCGGGCGGCTACGCTTTCACTCAGACACCAAAGAGGGACAGTCGGCCATCGCCCCGCACCCCCGCGGCTCAAACGCCGGCTGAGGCAACGACCACACCAGGAGCGCCGGAACGACGGCCACGGCCAGGCCCAGGGCGAACGAAGGTACATCTCCGTGGTCATAGCCGTACACCCCCCGAACCACCCAGGCAAGCACGGCCACCGCAACGGCGATGAGAGCGAGGACCGAGAGGGTCGCCCGCTGTCGACGGTCGGACGCTACGCGGGACGCTCTCAGCATAGCTACCTGAAAGGGCAGGTGGTGATGATGACGGAAGGAACCAGGAGGGGGTCCGCCCGGGATCCGGAACCCGCAGCCACCCATCCACAGCAACATCAGCAGCAGCAGCAGCAGCAGCAGTAGCAGGAAGAGCACACAGCAACAGACAAGACAGGTCGGTGGGTACCGCACAAAATACCCAGCGTGGTTCCAGCTCAAAGTGAGCAGACGCGAGAGCGCACAGAAACTTCTCGGGGCCACTCCCGGGAGGGCGTCTACTCCGGAAGGGGGTGCGGTAACATGGGCGCCAGTCGCGCGGTGCGGCTCTTCTCCTGCTGGTAGCCAGCCGGATGAAGCCTCGTCGGCTTTGGAATCAAGTAGGCGCGGTGGGGGGTGCTGAAGGCGGGAACCGCGAACTTGACCAGACCAAGGAAATGGCACGTGAATTCTCCCGTCATCGTCACCAGCGCCAGCGCTGCTACTGTTAAAAAAACGTCTCACCAAAACCTATGCTAGCCTCTTCGAGAGTTGGTTCAAACACACACGTGGCCTTCCGAAGCGCTCTCCATTTTTTTTTTAAGTCGGCTAGAGTCGGCAACAAAAAAAAACACGCCCACGAACGAACCACACGCACTCACCTGCAATCGCAAGCCTTGCTCCACCGACAGCTGTTGCTCCCTGGTCGACATGGTACACACAAGCGGCACCAACAAGAGGTGTAAGCGTGAGGACGAGACGCGACTGACGGGCAGGGGCAATCAGCTTTGTGCGGAATACAAATACAAGCCAAAACCCCAAGTGAATCCGCGTGCGGACAAGACGCGACTGACAGGCAAAGGGGCAGCATGCGGCAATCAGGTTTGTAGGGAGAGCAGATACAAGCCATAAAGCCAGTCCATCGGCGCGTGATCCTAACCAGTGATATTTAGCAGTACGGGCGACACGAGCAAGCGGCACTTCGGCCAGCGGCTTGCGGCAAACCCTACCACCAAGGTGACCCAAAACCGAACGTGCAAGTCCATATCATTCCCCATCAGACACGAAGATGCGGCTTCGGACACCCCCCTCTTCACCCCACCGCTGTCTGGTCGGCCACAAAATCGCCAAGAAAACAGCGTTCGTTGTCCTTCTCGGCCACACGTAGGTGCGAACGTGTCTCTACATGCCCCCCCTCCCCGGCCACGACGAGAGCAAACTCCCCTTCTGGCTGTTGCATCACCTGTGGTGCAGAAGCAGGTTATCCCGCATGTACACCGTCTTCCAGACCTCCAGGCCCTGGAGCTCGCAGCAAGGCCGCAGCACGTCCACCGCTCTCAGCGCCGGCACGCGCCCGCCGCCGCCGCTGCCGAGGGTGTAGGGAGGCGGCCGGTAGAGAGGGTTGAGCAGCGGCGCCGTCATGGTGCCCTCCATCGCGTGCTCCCTGTTGATCGGCACGGCGGTGGGATGCGGCGGAGTTGATGCTGTCGGGGGTTTTGTGCAATACCAGGAAGAGAAGCATCAGCAGTAGCAACAACAGCAGAAGCAGCAGCAGCAGTGACAGCAGTTGCGACCACAGGATAGAAGCTAGCCAGAAAAAACGTGTGCCGAGAGGTTCAGTAGACGGCCGCACAGCCAGCTTCATGAGGCCAGTGGGGCGTACAGCAGTGGAACCATTGGAGGGATAAGCACAAACATGTTAACGAGACACGCCTCGTTTCGCCGTTGTCTTTCTTCCTTCAAGGGGGTCAGGCAGAATGAGAATACTGGGTAGACGTCTCCTTCTTGCTGCCTGTTGGGGGGGCATCACCTGAGATAGGTAAACAGGCTGAGAGCACCACTGCCCGTCTCGCGCAGCTCCTTGAGCTTTTCCTTCCTCTCGCGCTCGCAGTTCCCTGGTTTGCGAGAGACGAAACGATTAAATCACGCACACGTACCAACAAAGGCGAAGCCATCAGGGGCCGACGAGGCACAAGAACGTCACCCAACAACATCCGTGACCATCATGTGAAAAGGCCAAGCTTAACCTCACGGCGGTAAACGTTGCTGTGGACAACAGCAGCCAATCACTAGCTTCATGGCATCTATTGCTGCTACCGCTGAAGTGAACAACAGCAGGCTGTGCACAGCCTTGGCATTCACACCGCAAGACAGGCTCACCCTTCCCTACACAAGCCCTACTTTCCGACCTCAGGCGAATGGGGGGAGGGGGATGCCTGTTTCACCTGCAAAATTGAGGAAGCCCGCGCTGTACACGCCTTCCACCAGCCGCTCGAGGTAGTGACCGGTGAACTCAAACGATGACGGGTATTGCCCGACGAGCTGCTCCGACGGGAGTTCGCCCCCCGCAGGCGTTTCGCGCACAAAAAAAAAAAAAATGGAGTGACCAGGGGCGAGACAAGAGGGGGGAGAGGCAGCCAAGCTTTGCAAACAACAACAAATAAGACGGCCGCAAGGTGTTAAAAAGGACGTGTGATTACAGCAGTGGCGGCTACAACATAAAAAAAGGGTTAGGACAAGGCCGAAATAGATCTCCTATCGGCTTTGTCGTGACGCACTGCTGTGTAACGACCTGTTTCGTAAAACATTCAGGTATCGTATTTTGGCGAAAACAGACGGAAGCGAGGTCGTTCCCATATACACGACGGCAACCAAGTGACTAGTGAACCTCCCCCACCTCGCCACCTCGGTCCTATCTGCACTTGCTCCGTCCTCTCTGGGACACGGTCAATCCTCTAACAGCTTCACAAAAGAAATGCAAAGCAACAGTATTACCCCCCCCCCCC